ACTGGGGAACGCAATTTACTTACCAAACAGTGGAAGTACTTGATTTGAAATCTAATGAAAAACTGACTATAACTGGAAGTAAAAACCAGTCGACTTACTGCATAGTCCTTTATACCACATTCACTTTGTGCTTGCTTACAGGTCATGGGGTAAGGCTGCTGGTGACGGTGAGCAGTGAAGCCCGTAAGAAGCTATCTCCCTGATTCCACCTTATATTTACGCGATAGTCAGTTGTTTATGATCATGTCTTTTTGTAGTCTTCCATCTGAATACTTGTAAAGGTTTTTATAGGCTTTACACTAGGTTTCCCTTACCCTCTTTTATTAATTCCTCGATTTTTATGGTTACATGCTAGTAAAACATCACTTCAAACGGCTTATGTGCTACTGTTGCTGTTGACAACTTTCTATACGCTTCATCTGTGTCAGGACCGTATAAAACTTCATAACTCGATATCCACCTAAGGTGTGCCATATTGTTTCCTATGCTCGTGTGCCCCGAACTCAGTGTCGCTTTTCCATGGATTGGAGCCACAGCATTCTATCAGCCTTCTGGAGTCCTGCTCATTCCCACTTCTGCACTATTTATGAAGACTTGATGGAGCTTGTACATGTTTGATCATCTTATATGTTAGTCCCGGAGAGAAACGCAAGCGGTGATTTCAGAGCAAACAATTGTTTTCGATTTATTCGTCATCAGGCGCAGTATAGAAATAAACGGTGAGAAGCTGACAAATCACTTGAACCACTCAACCGTAAAGGAACGCTGCTTCACACTTTAACAAACCGTTCATATCGAATCTGTAGCGAGGACATCATCACAAAATTGAAGCGAATCAAAGAAATGCCTCTGGGAAACGGTTATCCGGAAAGCTTCATTAACGCTCACATGAAACAAAGCAGCAACGTGCGTAGCCTAAGGAACAAGGTGCACGAGTTGGGTCTACTTGTAGACAAATCTCGTCCCGGCATACTTGCTTTCACTGAGACGTGCTTGTCTCCGGATATCACGGACGGTGAGGTATATTTACCTGGCTACGCGCTGCTTAGAACTGATCGCTCCGTTGGTCGCCAAGGCGGAGGCGTTGTACTGTATGTGAGCTGTAACTTAGATGTGTTGAGGACTTGCACATTCCAGTCGTCGGATCAGACTGTTGAAGCCCTATCGGCTGTTTTGTGCACTTCCTCTACCCGGTTTACAGTTATAGTGATATACAGAAGTCCTGCAAGTTCCTTCGGCGGGATACTTGACTTTATTCGCACTCAGTCTGCGAATAAGTGTTTAGTTCTAGGGGATTTCAACCTCCCGGAAGTCTGTTGGGCCGATCTTTCTTGCAATTCGGCATTAGGAACATTCGGTGCAGACTTCCTTGGACCGACTTTTCAAGTGCCTTTGCACCAGTTCGTTGACTTTCCCACTAGGTATATGGACAACCAAATACCATCTACTTTGGATTTGGTTTTCGCTAAGTCCCTGGACTTCGTGACTGACGTTTCATGCGGTGCACCTCTAGGGTCTAGCGATCACGCATGCATATCCTTTCGATGTGCTCTTTCAAGGCACCAAGAGACCGCTGTTGAAGTACTTCCGAATATTTGGCGGGCGGACTTTAGTGCAATGCGAACTAAGGCTTCAGTTCTGAACTGTGAGATCTCGATGGCTGACTCTGTCCAGTTAGCCTGGGATAAATTTAAGGCATACCTTACAGAGGTTTCCACTCCCTATATTCCACTCATTAGGAAAAGAGGGTTAAGGGCACAGCCTCCATGGATAGATACCACAGGCAAGTACCTACTCAAGAAACGGTCTAGATGCTGGCGAACCTACCAAGCAGCTCCATCAGCCAGTACCTATGATAGTTATCGAGAGAATAGAAATAAATGTAAGCAACATCTCAGAACTGCTCGTCTCCAATACGAGCAGGGTTTAGCGGACTCGGCCGCAGCTAATCCCAAGAAGTTTTTTGCTTACGTTAAAAGACGCAGCGGGGCAAAACTGTCTATACCAGCTTTATTGCGAGCAGACGGGACCCGTGCGCAAACTGACTATGACAAGGCTTGTATACTGAGTGATCAGTATACTGGGGTCTTTGCTCGGGAGACCTCTTTACCACAGGTTGAATTGGTTTCAAGAGTTCCAGAGGATTCTTGCTTAGCTGAATTTAGCATAACGGAGACTCAGGTCTTCGAGCTACTGCAAGGCATTAATCCCTCTAAAGCTTCCGGTCCTGATTCAGTCCATCCGAAGCTGTTGCATGAACTGGCCACTGAGCTGAGTGGTCCGCTCACGTGTGTATTTTCAATATCGCTGGACAGCTGCAGCCTACCTTCGGAATGGAAGGAGGCAATCATCTGTCCGATTTTTAAGGGCGGTGACAGCGCTCTACCCGCGAACTACCGGCCTGTCAGTTTGACAAGCGTAGTAGTCAAGTTGTTCGAGAAGCTGATAAGGGATTCAGTGGAGAACCACCTGAATCGATTCCACCTTCTCAGTGTTGCACAACATGGATTCCGCAAAGGATTTTCATGTCAGACTAATTTACTTGTAGCTCTTGAAAGCTGGGCCGAAGCGGTAGACAGTGGCCACGCTGTAGACGTGCTATTCGTAGGTTTTTCGAAAGCTTTTGACACTGTTCCACATCTTCGGCTCTCACTAAAGTTGAGATCTTACGGGATATCTGGTCGCGCCCTTCAATGGGTGTCTGCCTTCCTTGAGGGGAGGGAGCAGTGCGTACGGGTGGGGCGTAGCCTTTCGCTCAGGCAAGCTGTCCTTAGTGGCGTTCCGCAGGGCTCGGTATTGAGGCCATTGTTGTTCGCGATCTATGTAAATGACTTGCCGGGAGAGCTAGGGGTGTCATCATTAATGTTTGCTGACGACCTTAAGCTCTGGAATATTGTGGATATCCCGGGGGGTCCTGAGGCAATTCAGCGTGCCTTGGATAGGCTCTGGGAATGGTCTATCTTATGGTTGATGCCCATAAATAGGGCGAAGTGCTCTGTTCTCCGAATCGGAGCTGCAAATCCTCCCACCCGATATGTCGTCGGCGGTGGTGAACTCCCTGTTGTCATTCAGCAGGTTGATTTAGGAGTCGTACACGCATCAGCACTTCATTCTGGAGACAACTGGAAGAAGGCTGCTTGTCGAGGGTTTCGTATGATGTGGTTTATCCGCCGCTCTTTCGGAATCTTAACGGCCAAGTTGTTTGTGAAGCTATTTTCGGCATTCGTCCGACCCCACCTGGAATATTGTATTCAGGCTTGTCCACCATGTCTTAACCGAGACAAAATGGACTTGGAGAGGGTGTTACGAGTGGGCACTCGGTTAGTGCAGGGTCTACGGGGACAGACGTATCCTGAACGCTTGCTCAGTTTGGGTATGTACTCCATGCACTACCGAAGGATAAGAGGGGACCTGATTCTCACTTATCGTATTTTGACGGGTAAGATTGGCCCGGACTTGTCAGGGCTTTTTAGTCCCGCTACGTTACCTAGTCTCCGCGGTCACCCACTGAAACTGCATAAACCACGGTCTGATAGGATTAGGACGGAAACTCGTCTATCGCGCCGAGTTATAGATCGCTGGAATTCGCTTCCAGATCATGTGGTTAGGGAACCTACAGTTAAGGGTTTTGCGCGCCAGCTCGATGCTCTTGGGTGGCAACAGCAAACCTTTCCTTTTTCCTAGCTGACTCACCTTCACTTTTCAGTTCTTTTTTATTGGCTCAAATATCTTGGTATTCCACTTGCTTAGCTCTTACCACTTTCTCTTTTGCCTTCTGCGTTTACTTTTTTCTCTTTCTTACTTCACGTAACCGACCCTTGCAGGGACTGCTAGGGCAGGATACGTGGGCATTAATTGGTTGGACAGGGTGTGATGCGGTCTTTGTTTTAGGTCCATCAGTATTTCAAAGTTCGCTAACTCCTGGTTCAACGACCCGCCGAAGAAGAAACACTCACGGGATAATCCTATCGTTCCAGTCCCGCTTGAACTTGAACTTGAAAGTCGCATGGCACACCGTCGAGAAAAAAAACGTCTGTTCCTCACTTTTCCATTCAGACGTGATAAGGCGTCAGAGGTGTATGTGCGACGACTGGTGCGGATTTGTGAGAAAACATTCAACGCCGCCCAGTTGTCTGTACAAGCAAGCCGCTATCGGTTCCTAGATTCAAAGACAAAGTGCCCGGCCATCTCCAATCTACGGTAATTTACCTGTCCTTGTTGGTTTAAGTATGATGGATGCACGACCAAGGATTTATGCAAACGAAGCCAGGAATATCTACCAAGTGGACTCATAACCAAACATAATAGAACCAAAATAAGTGTGATCACAAATCATCTGTTTAGCACCGGCCATCAAATCGATAAAAGGACTACTTTTGAGATCATCTACAAAGCGCCTTTCCAGCTGTACCATCGGCTGAGTACGCGACTACTTGCTACTGCGGAAGCTGTATGCATAGGATTAACAAATCCGAACCTATGCATCCAGAAGAAACGCGTCCAAACGTTACAGCTACCTTGACCATCATGTAAACGCGAAGACTCAGATCTAATCTATTGATCCCACGTGCCATCCATCACATGATCGCCAGACGCATATCAATAAACTCGATTCCAATGTTTTTGATCAGTTGTTGCTCTTTGTACCCACAAGTGATTTGTCAGCTTTTTACTGTTTATTTTCCTACTGAGCCTAATGACGAAGAAATCGAAAACAATTGTTTGCTCTGAAATCACCACTTGCGTTTCTATCCGGAACTAACATTAAATTGGCATTATACCCGATCATCTCATTTGTGTTTTTGATGGCGATGTGAACATTCACACAGTGCTCCTGCGCCCATATTTCTTAAGTCAGTTGCTGCATTAGTAGAAGATTTTCCAGAGAGCGTTTCGATATATTGATTATACTCTGCTTTTCCGAATTTGCAAGTATCGTTATTTTGTCCATTCAATTTGTTTAATCCCCTTTCCTCATGTTTTCTTCAGACTGGCCTAACATGAAAGTATCAAAGAATCACGTTAAAAAGTCTGCAGGAAACAGGACAAAGAAGCTTAACCGGGAAAACATTTTAAAGCACCAGTTAAGCAGACTTGGCCGAGCTGGTGGTCTGAGAGATTTACGTTTCGGGGCCAAAGATAAGCATAAAAGTGAAGACGAGAAGGCATTGCAAAGGCATATTGTCGAAAGGCTGGTAAGTGGTCGGAATTGTACGAAAGTTAATCACTTCAGCGTCAATTAGACGATGTCGGATTCGAGTACGACGAGGACGATCCAATGAACAAAGCTGCTTTCGGTGGTGACGTGATTGGCAGAGCAACTCGCATGAGGTTAGATGAGAAGGCCGATGGTGGCATTCAAGGTTAGTTTTTCGTTTAACCACTTTTCATCGACTAGCTGATGTTGTGGAGGAGCAATTCTTTGGTTCTGCTCAGAACGGCAACTTTAGGGATGCGCTATCAACGAAAATTGCCGAATCTAAACTAAAGAAGTTGAAACGTGTAGAAGAGAATGAAGAACAACGAGAACGGTTGAAAATAGTAGATATTGCTTGGTCCCGCAATATACGATTCATGCTAGAACATTTATCATCATTGAAAGTTCCTATGGTAAGCGCGTGTCTACTCTCTTCCTTCAACTTGATACATCAGCCTCGTGGTTCGAATAGGGCATTGGATAATCGTAAATCCGTTTCGCAGTGGCTGGAACAACTGACTTCTGATAGGCGTATTCCACCGGTGGATGCAAAGCCAACTTCCACGAGTGAGGAAAAGCTTTTGGATAATCTCAGGTCCACTCTAGAAAACCGTCTTGCATCGTAAGTTCGTGCGGAAGGTTCCTCTTTATGTATTCTATCGAGGGATACTGGATCCCACATTGTTTCTGTTTCTGCATGTTTCAAAACACGCTCTCACAATATTTCTACTCTTTCATTGTTTAGACATCAAACAGCGGCCGTCTGCGCGCCGTCATAGCCATGTTACATAAATGCTGATTAGTTTGCGCACCTCTATCTAACAATATTTTGGTTCAGAAGCGTTTCACGGACTGAAATCTCGAAGCCCCATGCTCACCGGATAGCCGCAGTTATCGCACCATCTGTGTTGAGCACATCACCCAAGGGGTCATTTCACCCATCGATATGCAATTTACCATTTTATGCCATACTCATCTGGAGAGATCGACTGGCATGAACATATCATTCAAGAGCATGACGTACGACGCTGCGATTTGGTTATTTCAGCTATATCTATTACTTCTACACTCTAAAAACTGAGGACTTCTCCCACATGATTACCAATGCTTTCGAAAAATTGCGATTATGAGATAACCGAGTGCGTAATTCTTAAATCACCCAGATGTTACTTGACAACTGGCTCTCCGATCGATGGTGTTCTTCGAGAGTCTGTTGATCGTCTACTAATGTATGTGCTGTGCGCCTGCAGTGTATCACCTTGGAGGAGATTGCATGAGTGTTAATCAGTCACACGGTAGTTGGTCATGACGAACTTTGCTAGAAGCCTGAGCGTCTTGCTGGCTTCCTTACTACCGGCCACTTCAACAGTTGGAGGCTCTTTACGCCATAGGACAATCGACAGCAAAACAATGGTTACAATAAGTGCAACTTTGTGCCTTGTAACTGTGAGGTCTACATGTTAGCTCTTTCTTCTGGCCTATCACTTCTCTCTGAGGCATTTTCTAAATCTCTTTTCCTGTTATGTACCTAATCCGGTGTTTTCTAATTTTGCTGTGTATTGGCCATATAACGGGTGACGCTGGCTGGATCCTTGTCCTTTTTTGCTGGGGTCAAAGAATTCACTGAACTGGGTTTCAAATCGTCTGCTGGATGGTGTCATGGGTTTATTTGATCCTCTGCCGCTTATGATAAAACGCGTACGCTGTCGCATACTGATGTCGACTTACAGTTGGAGAGGCAAGACGGCCTAATGCTGGGATGCACTATCCCGGCGCAAGGCAAGGGCCTGCGAACAAGTCTGTTCACTCAGTCTCGCCCACGTTGGTGGCCGATCCGAAAAAAAAATATATATATACACATATATATATATATGTATATATATATAATACACAATCTGTGGTACAGATATTGTGCTATCGGAATCATGGCTGGATAGGAAGACAGTATGAATAATAAGAGCAACAACAACAAAAGCCTTTTTGTCTTGTTTACCACTCAGTTTTTGAATTTTTTCAGTTTGTATTTTAAGGGGAGGAAGAAGGGACACCGCAACACACCGATGCACACGTCCGCCATTGACATCGATCTCGAGCCATGGCTTCCAAGGTCTTCAACCAGCAAGTATCCGCATCTCTCGGACTCCAACCAGATAGTCGACAACAACCGGCCGAGGCCAACTGTTTCGTCAGCTTTTTTATGCGGCTTCTCCATGTCGTAGGCTGTCCACCAGACCGTCTTCTCCAGCCCTGTCCAGAAACCGCAAACAGCGCACGACGCGGGTAACGCTGGACAGGCATGCGCAATACGTGTCCCAACCACCGCAGTTGATGCAGTGAGATGAGCTCCTCGAGCGAGTGACTTCCACGTCCCAAGACGCGCTGTCTAACTTCCACATTGCTTACGTGGTGCTGCCACCACACACGGGTAATGGACCGCAGACAGCGGTGCTCGAAGACGGATAGCCTGCGCAAGTCATCTTTACGAATGGGCCAGGTCTCGCATCCGTACAACAGTACAGCACAACAATTGCACAATAGACCCACCCTTTGATGAAGAGACGAATGTCTTGCCGACGCCATAAGTGCCTCAGCCTAGAAGAAGCGAGGCGTGCTCTCGAGATGCGCATCGAAATCTCGTCTCCAACAGCCGCGGCAGCAGTGATGCAACTTCCCAAGTAGACAAAGCTCTCCACAACCTCTAGTGCTCACCACCAAGAGTGACTGCAGGCAGAGGCACCTGCCAGTCTTGGAAGAGAGCCTTGCATTTGGATGGCGAAAGTACATACCACACTTTGGTGCTTCAACCACCAAGCGGTTTAGTGCAATTTGGACGACATGTGGGTCGTCACCCAGCAAGACGATATCATCAGCATAATCCAAGTCAACAACTCGACTACCTGGGAGGAGCTTAACACCAGCGTTCAACGAATCGCCCAGAACGTTCTTCAGGACATCCTTAATGCCAAAGTTGAATAGGAACGAAGAGATAGGGCATCTTTGTCGAACTCCACTGGAGACCACAAAGGTAGGCGAAAGCTTGCGATAAGCCCTAACCCTGCCCGAGGTCAGACTATATAGAGAGAGCAGTATGGAGACGAACTTCTCGGGGACACCATTCCTCAGTAGACAGTGCCACAGTACTGTACGATCGACGGAATCGAAGGCTGCACGGATATCCAGGAACACAGCAATCGTTGGCCTTTGATACACATGGCAGAGCTCGAGGATCTGGCGAAGTGTGAAGATTTGATCGATGCAGCCGCGACCAGGACGAAACTCCGCTTGTTCTTCTAGTCGCAACGACTCGCACGTTGGGGATAGCCTGCGAAGTATGATGGACACCAGCAGCTTGCAAACGACGGGGACTAAGCTTATGCCTCTTTGCTTGGAGCAAATTGTGCGCAAGCCCTTTTTGAAGATGAAGACGACCGTCGATTCACTCCAAGATGATGGAACTTTCTCTTCCGACCAAATTTTCGAGAACAAAACGGTGAGTTCTCGAACCAGCGAAGCGCCGACATCTTTAAATTGAGCTGGAGTAAGACCATCAGAGCCGGGAGCTTTATACCGCTTCATGTGCCAGAGCTCCTGCTCGATTTCCTGGGAAGAGGGAGGGTCTGTTGGGGTAGACCACTCGGCCCCAGCGCGAGCGCCAGAGGTAGCAGATGGCGCTGGGGGCCAACAAAACTGCGAGCCAAAATGTTCGGCCCATCGCTCCAACCGTTGTTGAAGATTGGTGATTAAGGTGCCATTATCTTCGCATATTGTTTCACTTATACCAGATCGAACACCTTCGGTGATCCGACTGAGATGGAAAAGTTTTCTAGTATTACCAGAGAGGCTAGCAAGCTCCATCTCCCTGGCACGTTCACACCACCAAGCTTCGCGGTCCATTTGCAGACTCCTGCGCAACTCTCAACAAAGGTACTGGCGTTCTTCACTGTGTCTGGAATCCGATGAGAGCAAGCGGCGTCTGTTCATAAGCGACAAGGAGTCGGCGGAAATCCAATGCTTCGGTGGGTGACGGGTAACTCCACAACTGTCGATACTAACGGAAACTAAAGCATCTTTGATACGCGCCCACTGCGAATCGAGATCACCGTCAGTAGTTGAGCCAAGCAAGGTTGACAGTGAGGCTTGGTACCTGGTTACAATCGCAGGGTTTTATAGATTTGCGACGTCCGGTTGGTAGTAGGTGCGCTTAGGTGATCCTCCGAAACGCAAGCAAATCTTAACACGAACCAATGCGTGATCGGAGTCTAGAAAAGTTGACCAGTACGATCGGCAGTCCATTACGCTTCCGCGCCATCTGTAGCTGATTGCTATGTGCTCAAGCTGGGAGTACTCTTGCGTTTGTGAGGGCGGACGCCAGGTAGCAGTGTGTCTCCTCGAGTGCCGAAAACTAGTGCTCGAAAGATACAAGCGATGATCAGAACAAAGAGCAAGCAGTCTGTCTCCAATGTCTGATCGACTGCCACCGAGAGACCAAAACTACCCCCAAGGTGGTGCTCGCTTGGTGGAAGGCGGCCAACCCGTGCGTTAAAGTCCCCGGTAAAAATGACTATATCAGTCATTTTGGAAGAACGCAGAAGTTCATGTAGTTGTTGATAAAAGCTATCTTTCACTGCATCCGGGCTGCAGTCTGTAGGGGCGTAGGCGGAGACGACAAACAAGGCACGCTTAACGTCTCGACGCCTGCTTACGTTACATGAACCTCGTAGTTTGACTGCACATAGTCGGCTGTTGACTGGGATCCAGTCAAGCAGAGCTGATTCAGCCCTAGCAATCAGTACAACCCCAACACCAGCTTGACCAGTGGCCGCAGCTTCTGCGTCTCCGGAAAGCCGCAAGTAGTATTTGGCGTCAGAGTTTATCGGAGAGGCCATTCTGATGACGGCGCTAGAGTCTTGTAATCTGGTCTCTGAAAGGCAACAGATTTCTACCGAAAGCATTTCAAGAGTACGGGCCAGACATGCTTGCCGTCCGATCTGCATCAAAGTTCGAACATTAAACGCTGCGAGGATGAATGGAGAACCTGGTCGAAGAAGAGCTGGAGCTTCGGTGGAGTGACAGGCGGTTGCGATCGGAGGACATTGAAAACCGGGAGTTTGGCTGTTGCTTCCGTCAGTTACGAGACGTGGGTCGTTTGTGACGGTGACCGTAGAAGACATAAGAGTACATGTGGGTGAAGGAGGGGAGATGGGGTGATCTATGAATGGAGGTTGAGCGGTTGAGTTAGCATAGAAGTTAGGCATAGCAGTAGCAGTAGTAAGCGGCGTGGTCCATGATTCGTCAGTGGGCGTGATACTACCCGGTTGCCCATGCCGAAGTAGAGGGTTGTCTTAGGGGGCCCTACCCAGAGCCTTTGATCAAAGATCTAACCTACATGGCAGCAGGGCGATGTGAGGGTGTCGCAACCCGTTGGGAGCCGGTGACCAAATAGATGGTTCATACGCCTTTCAGTCCGTGAAGGACAAGGGACCCAACGCACCCTTAAAGTACAATGCCTCTCAGGGAGGTGCAAGGGTCGTCGTGTGAGCCGTATCAGGTTTGCTGAGCCGTGACACGTGCGAAAACCTTTCGCGGAGTGGTCGTATCAAATACCCAGTCATGCGCGTGGGT